GTCTTTTTACCTACAAATTTACTTTTTACATTAACAATATGCCACCATCTAAGGATGGCTTCAATAAAATCTGCTGTTTCATTACTGCCTACTAGACGCAGAGCAGCAACATTGTATTCATTAAAAATTGCCAAAGCAAGAGGAACATTCTGTCTGTCCATGCTGGAGGGATAGATGGCTTTGTGGGAAAGTTTAGGTGCCAGTTTTGCAATATTCTTTTGCTCACTATAATACAGTTTCTTTAAATGAGAAAAGTTAGCTTCTGCAGCTCTATCAGTATCACAAGCGTTTAGCATTTGTCCAGTTATTAAAGGATAAGTAAATGTCTGGTTTGTGTCCTTCTGGTTGATCCAGTTCCTCCACATGCATTTTAGCAAGTGCACAGAATCATGCAGTAAAAATATTTTTTATTAGCAAAATCTGGGTTCTCAATAAAAGTTTGGCTTGGTTTCAGGAGATCACTGTAAACTCTGCGATTGACAGCACTATTATCTGCAATTACAACAACTACTGTGAAACCACACTCCTGTACAAAGTGGATACAGTGGAGTAATTTCAAACGTAGATCCTGAGATATCATTCTGTTCACAGGTGAAAGTTCTATAATTTCCTGGTAGCTTCCAAAAACTGAAGATATGAGGAAAGCCTGCACTGTTGTTGCTGCTTCTTTTGCATTGTCTGCATTGCCAAATATTTTGCCCCCAGAGTAAGTAATTGCAGATTTAACATATATTTCATCCATCTGAACCACTACAATCTTTTCTAGCTCTGTCACTTTGTCTTGTTTCAATTTTAAGTACTGTGAAATGCTGCCAGTATGAGTAGACAATGACAACTGTGAAGTTAAATTGTGCAGTGTTCTTTGATGAGGCAGGCACAACATACGAGATTTTCTTATAAACCGGTAGCATGCTGGAGATTTAATGAACAGCATGAAAGCGAAACATAATGTGCTACAACTGTAACGCCTTCTGTTTTTTAACACGGTTAAAAGTTGCAGCTGCTCTGCAAAAAGTTTACTTGTGTGTCAGTTACTTCATCAGCTGTCCCATTAGGAGTCCACTGTTGCTCTGCGGCACTCTTCAAAATACTTCCTGCTTCTCCCACTAAATCTGTGAAGCTATTTTGGCTTTAAATTTTACTATAATCCCAGGCATTGTAATGAATTACAAGATTTTCAAGCTGTGACCATCTCACAAGTTTATTGTTGTCTACAATCCATTTAAGGTCTTTGTCTTTAACTTTTTTATTAATATGTGATACACGTTCCTCTGGAGTTTTTGCGAGATAAATAGGATGGAAGATCTGGAAAAATAGTTGGATAAGCATCTTTTTTTAAAGCGGGATTCTTTCTTGGAAGTATATGCTCGATTCCTGATTTGTCTGTATATTTATCAGACACAATAATATCTGACGTACGAAAATGTTTTATACATACTACACTGGTTTTCCCAGGAGTCCAATTTTTCCGTGGAATATGTTTCAGCCATTTGTCTCTTAAAAGAGAATTCGAAGGGAATCTGAAGCAACTTACATATCCACTAGAAAGGTCATAATTTGAACGACACTCGGGTACAGAACATTTAGCAGGCATAGTTACTCGAAAACCAACACACTGACGATAAATCCAACGTAAATTGCAGAAATTGCTTACTAAATCTACTCCCTGAAATACCGCTTATAGGTGAATCAGACGTGAAAATTAAACCACATTAAAAACTTTCACAAGAAAAATAAAATCGAACACACACTGATACATCCATTTTGTTTGCCTCGGGAAGTGACGTCACCAGTCGAGTTTCAGGGCCTGTATTGTCGATGGCTACGGTTCAACCTTTAGGCCATTTTTATGGCCAAGCTATATTGCGGCCCCTGGCAAGAGCCAGCGTAGGGCTTCAAATAAAAAAAAATTTTGTCCTAAAAAGGACGCAAAATATTACGAAATCGATCTTATGAGTGCCCAGCTTTTCTACATACAACACTGAAAAAAAAATGGACCAATGATTGACAAATAACATTAATTATAAATTCTCTTTTTTCTATGTCTGAGATTTTTCTGATTATATTCAGTTTTATCCTACTCAAAGAACTGAAGGGCAAAATATCACCAGAATACAATAATAGAAAAAACTATTTGCTACTAAAGACAAAGTCCCTGAACAATCATGAACTTTGAAAAGATGCTGTTCCTTTATAATCTCTCCACAAAACAATCGTTAACTTTGCAGACAGACTGTCCCTTGAGAATCTCCACATAATCACTGACTTTGTAAAGATGATGTCCCTTCAGAATCTCCCCCACACAACAATCGTTAACTTTGCAGACAACTGTCCCTTCAGAATCTCTACATAATCACTGACTTTGTAAAGATGATGTCCCTTCAGAATCTCCCCCACACAACAATCGTTAACTTTGCAGACAACTGTCCCTTCAGAATCTCTACATAATCACTGACTTTGTAAAGATGATGTCCCTTCAGAATCTCCCCCACACAACAATCGTTAACTTCGCAGAAAGACTGTCCCTTGAGAATCTCCACTGAATCACTGACTTTGTAAAGATGATGTCCCTTCAGAATCTCCCCCACACAACAATCGTTAACTGTGCAGAAAGACTGTCCCCTTCAGAATCTCCACATAATCACTGACTTTGTAAAGATGATGTCCCTTCCGAATCTCCTCACAAATCAATCTCTGACCCTACAAAATCTCCACAATATCACTGATTTTGCAGAGGCATTGCCCCTTCAGAATCTCCGAACAATCAAGAACTTAGTAGAGAGAATGTCCCTTGAAAATCACACAATCATGAACTTTGTGGAGACTGTTCCTTCAAAAGAGGTACTATCTCTTTAGATTCTCCACACATATAGTCATGACTTTCTAGAGATCCTGTCCCTTCAGAATCTCCATATCAACCATGAGATCTGCATGTACGTAGTCCAGTAGAAGCTATCGATCATCCTGGAAATACTTCAGCTTACGGAGCCAGTGTTTCAGTGTGTCAAATGTACTGAAGCTGATGCCAACAGCGATGGGTCCTTTGATCCAGTTCATACTGAGGCCTTTGTACATGCCGCGGATGAAGCCCTCCTCGCTGATGATGCTGCGGATTGTGCCGAGGATGCTGGTGTAGTCCAGGCTGTGTCCTGTGACACCTGCATGTTGTAGATTTATCAAAAATCAAATAGGTGAATGAGTCAATCATGAGTCATGGAAGTATCAGATCAATGTATAAATCATGAGTCATGGAAGTATCAGATCAATGTATAAATCATGAGTCATGGAAGTATCAGATCAATGTATAAATCATGAGTCATGGAAGTATCAGATCAATGTATAAATCATGAGTCATGAAAGTATCAGATCAATGTATCATTCAGTCATAAGTCATGGGAGAATCAGATTAATATATTAATTAGTCAGTCAAGCATGAGTCATGGAATTATTACATCAATGTATCAGTCAATCATCATCATCAATATGAAGCAGCTACTTTACAGAAAGTTGCTCCCATCAGACCATGCCTGAAAGAAACTCAATCTCTCGCCAGATCTCCCGCCTCATGCATTTTGCTGCTCAGGGTGTCTCTATGTCCTGTGTTTGTCTTCATGCTGGTTGGCACCAGCCCCCTCCACTACTGTTCATTCCAAACACCATGGTGTTTTATACGGACAAAGTAAACCAGTTTCTGTAACTGTTGACAAGCCAGTCTTCCTCGATGTTCAGATCTTTTAGGATGTTAATATTTCTGTTCACTAAAGCTAATCAAGTATTGGGGCAACTATCTCCCCTGTTGACACACAAGCAGATACCCCAGAGTACTAAAGTGAATCTTATCAGAACTATTTTTTGGCCAATACTATGCTATCAGTGCCAAACGTGGTTACTTACATCCTCCAATGAACGTAAAATTGTGACAACAGAGATGAAATGCCTTAGAAGAGCTGCAGGAGTTTCAAGGAAAGACAGAATACGAAATCACGAAATCAGACGAATGCTAGGAATAAAGCCAGTCTTACAAGTCATCAAAGAACAACAAATGAAATGGTGTGGACACGTAACAAGAATGCCTTGGTACTATCTGCCAAAGTGAGCAACACTAAACCGTTATAACGGGTATAGAGTGAGTGGAAGACCTCTGAAAAGATGAAGTGATGGCAGTAGGAACAGTCTTACAGAAATGAACATCAGTCTCAAAAGTGCTCTTGTCAGAGCTCATAATTTTACTTCCCCCCCCCCCCCCCCCAATCTGGTCAATCATGGGTCATGGGGGTAACAGAATTATTGTATAAGTCATCTGGTCAATCATGGGTCATGGGGGTAGCACAATCAATGTATAAGTCATCTGGTCAATCATGAGTCATGGGGGTAACAGAATCAGTGTATAAGTCATCTGGTCAATCATGCGTCATGGGTGTAGCAGAATCAATGTTTAAGTCATCAGGTCAATCATGGGTGTAGCAGAATCAATGTATAAGTCATCAGGTCAATCATGGGGGTAGCAGAATCAATGTATAAGTCATCAGGTCAATCATGGGGGTAGCAGAATCAATGTTTAAGTCATCAGGTCAATCATGGGTGTAGCAGAATCAATGTATGTCATCAGGTCAATCATGGGGGTAGCAGAATCAATGTATAAGTCATCTGGTCAATCATGGGGGTAGCAGAATCAATGTATAAGTCATCAGGTCAATCATGGGGGTAGCAGAATCAATGTATAAGTCATTTGGTCAATCATGGGGGTAGCAGAATCAATGTATAAGTCATCAGGTCAATCATCACCCACAAACAACTCACATCAAGTTGTCCCATTTTTTGCTACTGCATGCAGCTCACTTTTTTGTTTTCTGTAGTTTTTTTTTTTGCTTCAATCTCTGCCTCTGTTTTTTTTTTTCTTTTGACCTGCCTTTATTTCTGTGACCATGTGGGTGTCAGCGGGAAAGATATTACAGTTATATTGTTTTAACAACAGTTGAAAAGAGAAATAAAACACTTACCTGCAGTCTGCATTCGTCGCCTGACAATATCAAGTGGGTACGAGGCTGACTGTCCTACCATTCCGGCCACAGCCCCGAAACACATCCTCTCTATCGGGTTCGGATCTCTGCCTAAATGTGTTTCTGTAGAAGTAAGCATTTGATGAATGAAGAAATTAATCAATAAAGAACTGACACCATTTGATTGTTCCTTCGAAGTTGGAGTGCATCTTCTTGAGATGTGCACACAAAACTCAAGTTCTCAAGTTCCGTCAGCATTCAACCTTTGGCTGTATTTCTGCCAGGATGTTTCGCTGGTGTTTCTGACATCTCTGGTATTGTTCATGCCGTTCTGTATTCAAGATCATCTTGATTTTTACTTTTGGCCCACGCCTGGTATCTACAGTTCTTCTTCGCTGCTATTTTTTTACTTCCTTGTTGCATATGGGTGTCATTAATGGTCTTGTGCTTCTCTTCTTTACCATTTCGCATTTTTCTCTTGTTGCTTTTAAAATTGATCTTTTAAACATTTCCCATTCCTTCTCTACTTCTTCTTCTTCTTCGCGTTCACCAGCTGTACACTCTGGCGAAATGTTCTGGTTGCTCATTCACTACTGAACTACAGTCCTGCTCCAGAACCTGAGTGTTGTATGTGCATCAGTTTTACAGATCTCATTCGCTTGAATACAGACTGTTGGTTCCTTGCCTCTCCGGCAGATGCACTCCGACTTCAAAGAAGCTCCCCAATTAGTCGACTCTTATGACATGCTTTTGGGGAGGCAGTTGGTCTATTCTTGTTTTCCCCCACAATGGAGCCCCGGAACCCACACGGGGGTCCTTCTCTACTGATATGGTTTCTTTAGCTAGCGTTGTACATCCTTCAGTAACTTTTTAAAGGTATGCTTCTTGTGTGTTAGCGTTCTTTAAGTTATTAATTGTGTATGTTTCTTTGGTGGTTGAATGTAGTCCTCTAGTATTCCTCCCTCTGTTCATCCGAGACTGGCTACAGCTGACAGACCATGCTGCTGACGTCACCAAACCTGGCTAACCATAGGTTAACGCAGTGATTCTCAAACTGGGCGTCACAAGCGTTTTTCAAGGGTCGGCAATAATCAAGAATGTTTCAAAATTTGCCTGACATTAAACTTACACTGTTTTTTCTTCTTTTCTTAAGTATTCAAACCGCTTTAAGGGTAGGTGTGCCAAACATTTTTTTTTTCCCAACGAAAAAATTTTGAGAAACGCTGTGCTAACATATCGTTAGTCCGGTATGGTGACGTCAGCAGCATGGCCTGTCAACTGGAGCTGGTCTTGGTTCATTCTCATGGTCAGCATGACCGTCTTGTGGTCAGTGTCTGCACATAGGTTTGGGATTGCTCTTGCATCCATTACCATTCTTCTCATGTTTCTCTTGGTTAGTGTATAGTCTATTTGACTTTTACAGTTCAGATCATTCCATTTAGACCAGGTACGTATGTAAGACTGCCAGCGTTGGAAACAACTGTAAGTTAGGAATCAATCCTTCTGATAACATAGCTTAAGGAGCCTGCAGTCACTGCAGGAGATCTAGTGTGAACCCAAACCTGTGTTTTGCCCTTTTGTTCACTTTTACTCCTGAATTAACGTACATAAAGTCCAGATGCACTTTCTTATACCCTATTCCTTTAGTTCTTGTATCTGCTAGTCTTAATATTGCTATTTTGTGTTCTCTCGTTTCTTCTACGATGGCTTCTACTTTGTTTTTAAGCCTGCACATGGGGCCGGAGAGCTGGCTAGTGAAAGGGGTACTTTCAGGTGTGCTGTGAAGAGAGCGACATTCTGTAAAGGACTTGCTGATTGATGGTATAGTGATGGTGCAAATTTTCTTGATATTCTTGGATACTGTCCCTTTCATTCTAGTTGGTTCATGAGATCTCATTTTCTATGAGCCCTTGGTAAGCCACTGTCAGTTTGCTGGACCAATCACAGTGTTTTCAAACTTCCTAGAAGATCATACTTGAACTAGACTATCACATTCAGACTAGTTTAACACAACTTCCACTCCAGGATGTCCAAACCTGACCAAGGTTAGATGCTGGCTCAACAAAACTTATACTGTCCAGTAAAGGTTAAAGAAGGTTAAAGGTTAAAGTTGGGAGCATCGACTTCACTGGTTTTATCCCATACGGCTCAGTCTCTCTCTGCAAAAATGCTAGCCTTTTGCCGACTGGGTCGCAAAAAAGCAACAACACCCTAGCCCCCGTGATGATCCCTAGTTGTCTGCGTAAAAACTGTACTTGTGAACCAAATGGACAAACAATAAGTATTTGAGAAATGCACAAAATACTGAAGATGAGACTCGAGAAAGTCAAAACATGATAGTAGTTGTAAACTAAAAACATACCAGCATGGAGTTTTTTCAAAGTTTCATATGTGAAAAAACTGGACCCTGAGTATGGTATGGAGCCGAGAATTGTTGGTGTGAACCCTCGGTATATTGAGAATAGACCCTCCTCTCGTATCATCTTCATAAATACTTGTCCTATATGGTTGTACCTGAGGAATAATATAAGCAGCTGTACTATTTGGTTGTTTCTTTTGATTAATATACAAATAGTTTTTGTAATGGGGGATATTTTCACCCAGATTAGGAAGTTTGGGGGGAAGGCCCAAGGTTAACCCAAATACCGAAATATTCCAGATACTCAGATTAAACGAGGTTTTCAAGATAGGTGATGACCATGAGTTATCACGTGTAACACGATGACGCGACCACAGGGCGCCACCTGGAAGTAAAGGACCACCACCTGTTGCCACATGAAACTAACCCGTGGTATAAAACAAACTCCAGTCTGATCAAGTTAGTATGTATATGTTGAACTGTCGGAGCGAAAGGATGGGAGACTGAGTGTAAGAATGTCAATGTAAAATTGCATGACGTGAAAGGAGAACCAGACGACGACGTTAGAAGCCAAGACCAGCCAGGCCAGTCTGTATACCATCAATGAAATAAACCAGATCCATCTTTACAAACTCTGGTCAGTGACTGCGTGAGGAACTAGCATGTTGAAGTCTGCGTGATGTACTGTGTGAAAGCTGTTTCCATAGGACAGCGACTGGACGATGATGTAAGTTCTAAGATGTCAATAAAGTGATGTTTCGTACGGCTAAGTCAGTGTCGGCTTGTCCCAGTTATGTCATCGTTGAATGTGTGCTATTGCAGTTTTCCTATTTGGTTTATCTGTTGAATAATACACAGACAGCTGACTTATTTATGGGTGTATCTGAGGAATAATATACAGACAATTGACTTATATATTGCTGTTCCTGAGGAATAATATACGAAAAACTGATAAATAGTTGTATATGCGAAATAGTATAAGCAGCTGTATTATTTGGTTTAATATACAAACGGTTGCCCTATTTGGTTGCATCTGGGGAATAATTAACACACACTTGATGTATATTTTGTACCTGAAGAATAATATTCAAACAATTGAATTATATATGGTTGTATCTGAGGAATAATATAAGCAGCTGTATTATTTTGTTGTTTCTTTGGAATAATTTACAAACGGTTGTCCTGTTTGGTTGTATCTGAGGAATAATTTACATGCATTTGATTTATATTTGGTTGTATCTCAGGAATAAACAACAAACACTTGGCTTATATTTGGTTTTATCTCAGGAATAAACTACAAACACTTGGCTTATATTTGGTTGGGTCTGGGGAATAATATACAAACATTTGACTTATATTTGGTTGGGTCTGGGGAATAATATACAAACATTTGACTTATATTTGGTTGGGTCTGGGGAATAATATACAAACATTTGACTTATATTTGGTTGTGTCTGAGGAATAAACTACAAACGCTAGACTTATATGTGGTTGTATCTGAGGAATAATATACATACACTTGATTTATATTTGGTTATATCTCAGGAATAATATACAAACACTTGAAATATTTGGTCATATCTCAGGAATAAACTACAAATACTTGACTTATATTTGGCTGTATCTGAGGAATAAACTACAAACACTTGACTTATATTTGGTTGTATCTGAGGAAAAATACTCGTAAATAAACAGCTGCCCTACATGGTTGTCAAAAAATTTAGTTGTATGTCCTTTACAGAAGTGTTCTTCAACTGATGGTCCATGGCTCACTGATAGGTGGTAAAAATGGCCCAGTGGGCCATCATAAATGTATACCTAATCATGTTCCGCAGCATTGGGAATGAGTATTTCTACACAACATATATATTAGATTTATGAGTATTTCTACACAACGTATATATATTAGATTTATGAGTATTTCTACACAACGTATATATTAGATTTTTGAGTATTTCTACACAACGTATATATTAGATTTATGAGTATTTCTGCACAACGTATATATTAGATTTATGAGTATTTCTACACAACATATATATTAGATTTATGAGTATTTCTACACAACGTATATATATTAGATTTATGAGTATTTCTACACAACGTATATATTAGATTTATGAGTATTTCTACACAACGTATATATTAGATTTATGAGTATTTCTACACAACGTATATATTAGATTTCCTAACCTCTTAGCAGCAGCAAATATTGCTTTAGCTGAAAACTGTAATTTTGTGATGTCAGATTCAACAAATAAACTACTAAGTTAAAGGAACACTGGTTTACAAGATGTTTCAATCCCACCCCAGCATACTATGGCTGCTTTTGGTTTTACATGGCAATTTTACTTTCAGTAGTTTGCCATTGCTCTCTGGACAGTTTAATGGTAACACCACTATATTAAAATCAAAGCGGTCCACTACTAAACTGTCTGCAGCTGAATCAAACTCGATAAGTCAGAATGGTGAAACTGCTATAGGGTTGTATCTGAGAAATAACATCAACCACTGTTCCATATACATGGGGAAGTTAATAAGTAGGTCACAAATGGTTATGGGATGGCAGGAAAATGTAGCTGGTGGTTTCTAAAAGTGTCATTAGGTAACAGCAACATCAAACTTTATTCCTCCATTCCATAAGTGGTGCTAGGTGATGCATGCGCATTCACGACATAGAAATAAAATGACTACTGTATTTAGGGAGTGTACCCTCAAAGAACCTGCTGTTGTGTTTTGTGTGTGGAGGGGAAGGGGGCTGGGGGGGGCAAGGGCTGCCTGCAAAGGACATTCATAAGAAAATGTTTCCTGTTTATGCTGACAAATGTTCATCATATAAAGCGGTGCATAGCTGGGAACAATTTTTTTTGGTCAAGGATGCTCTAAAATTGTTGATGAAGTCTGATCTGGTCGTTCTGTTGAGTCTGCACAGACAAATCTGTGCAGCAGGTGGATTAGATGATTAGAGGTGACAGTGAAGTAACGGTTGATTCCGTAGCAGCTGCAATAGGGTGCTCACATGGTTCAGCATACAATATAATGCATGGTTGATTAAAATTTTTGGTCTACTGAAAACCCACCTTGGCGGGAGACATTTTGCGAATGGCGCAGAAGTTGAATGTGAAGTGAAAATGTGGTTTAGAAAACAGAGCACGCAGTTCTATGCAGGGGTTTTGGGAGGACTGATAAAAGGATGAGACAAGTACATCAATGTTGGTGGAAATTATATTGAAAAATAAAGGGATAGTGTATGTGTAAAAATAAGCGATTTTGAAGTTGTTATCGTCTTTAGCTGTTTTATTTTAAACAACCATTTATGACTTACTTATTGACTTCCCCTCGTAAGTAATATAATACATAAACAATTGTTGTCTTTTATGGTTCTGAGGAATAACAATAAATTTTTGTCCTAAATGGTTGTATGTGAGGAATAATACAATCAGACTGCTACTGGCACCACTGGCATTGGAACTCTGTGCTGGCTGCTGAAGATGGGGACAAAGCGCTTATGGGAATGTATTGAGTGCTGAGATGTCGGTTCTTGAATCAGCTCAACTACGCCTGAACTTTAGTTTTGCATTCACAGCCATTTTACAGACCTGGCATATTCGTATGCAGACTGTTGGTTCCTTGCCTCAGGCAGATGCACTCCAACTTCAAAGGAAAAAGCCCTAATTAGTCAGCTCCTATGATGTGTTTGTTAGGGGAGGCAGTGGGTTTATTCTTTGTGATGCAAGATTGAGTCCCAGAACCTACACAAGGAAAACTACCCTTTAACAAGCATGTCATAAAAGGTTAACTAATTAAGAGTTTGCTGAAATCAAATAGTTTGGCCATGTAACACGAGTGGCATCAGACAGGGTATCACAGACAGCAATGTTATAAAGATACAACAGTAAAACAGCCAGAGGTCAACCACACAGAAGATGGACCACAGAAATATCAGGGACACTGAAAAGTTCTTTACATGAAGTGAACCTGTTCCAGAGATCTCTTCCTACCATGATGATGCGAGACATTCCAGGAGTAGAGAAAAGATAAAGGAGAAGAGGAAAAATGTGTTGGACCAAAATGTGTAGATATCACAGCTTTGCTGTAAACTACATCACAATTTGCCAACCACCTGTTCAAGGGCAAACAAAGAGAAAGAACAATAAGATGAGGAAAAAAATGTAGTAGAAACTAACATGACAAAAGAAATGCAGCAGCAAACAGTTTGATTATTATTTTAACAATAACGACAATACTGACGGCAAAGATAAGAACAGTAACTGAAGTCTGGTCTAATGACTACTCACGTTTCTTTAGGTGTCACTGCCATCCTGGCACGACACAAGTCAAGTGGATAGGTCAAGGCCACAGAAGTAACACCAGCCAGAGCGCCAGCTAAAAATCTCCAATGTGGAGGCAAGTGTCTGCAAAACAAGTTAGCAGCAGAATCAATATTTTTTTTCACCAGAAGAGCAACAGCTAGGATCTTGCCTGCCAGTCCAAAGGACTTGGGTTCAAATCTGAATCAGGAGTGATGAAACTGACCTGTACTGCCGGGTCAACCGAGTCCATAACGAGTACCAGGAAATCAACTGAATTGTAAAAGCAGTCAACGTGATACTGACCATATCATCAGCGTGGCACCCTGTGCAAAACGTGTGCCGGGCAGTCAAAATGGCTCTTTCCTTTTTTTAAAAAAAACTTACTTTACACAATTTTTAGTAGAATAAATTGTTTCCATCCAACACTCAATGGAATCATGTAACACTGTGCAGGAACTAATGAAAAACAAAGTACACGTATATTCAACAACTGTGCCTATACAACTTAATTCTCTACATTTATACCACAAACAATTAAACATTCTACATCTGTACCACAAAAAATTGTGCTGTCTACATCTCTACCTCCAACAATTACTTCCAACAACTGTACTTTCTACATCTATACTTCCAACAATTGTTCTTTCCAATCAAAACTTCCAACAATTGTACTTTCAACATCAGTAAGCAATTGCTACTTCTGTTGATTTAATTCATGCATGAGCTCTTCCACCAATAAGTTAAAAATAGACTTTGTGTCCCCAACATTTGTATGTTCTTGCATATCTTTTACATTAGTTCTTCCAACCATACCTTCCATATTTGTACCTCTTACATTTGTACCTCCAGCTGTACTTACCGTATTTGTATCTCTAACTGCACCTTCTATATTTGTACCTCTTACCTCTTACACTTGTACCTCCAAATGTACCTTTCATATTTGTACCTCTTAACACTTGCACCTCCAATGTAGTTTGTATATTTATACCTCTTACATTTGTACCTCCAATTGTACTTTCTATAGTTGTAACTTTTACATATCTACCTGCAACTGTACTTGTAACTCTAACAAGCATAACGCTACAAGTTGATGTCAAACAACTCAGTCTTGAGCCTCTTTCTTGCTGGGCCTCTTGCAAGTTAACTGCTGACAACTGAACCTCCCACAACTGAACCTCCCACAACTGAGCCTCAAACAGCTGAACCTCCTACATCTGAACCTCCTAAAACCGACTCTCCTACAACAGGGCATCAACTGAGCCTCATTACTACACCTCCTACAAAACCCAGAATAGGTAAAACTCTCAGGAACCACTTACTTTCTTTTCTCAAAGTTAAGCCACAACTTGTACTGCTCATGAGCACTGAACTGAATGGCAGCATAAGGCACAATCCTCACAAGAGTGGCTGAGTTTCCTCTCCACAGTGAGAAAAAACCAGAATCCCGGACGGTCTTGAACAGAAATTTGCCGGCTTCCCGTGCAGAGAATGGCTTGTTGGCAACTGTGAAAACATAATTTTTCAACTTTTTCCATGACAAAGCTTAAAACTATAAATGTTTAATTTCAAAAGTCTAAATTCTAGGAGGTCTCAGGTTTAAAGTTGAAAGGACTGCGTTCATCATACTGGGTTAAATACCACAAGGCTCAGTCTCCCTCTGCAACGCAGCTAGCTGTTTCCAAGAGCATTAGACAAAACATGAACTCCAAAGATCCAGGGAAAATCTCTAGGCATCTCCGCAAAAGTATTGTAGTTGTGATTCAAAGGATACAGTCCATGAAACCCAAGACTTTCATAGCCCGAGGTGAGCTGCTCAACTCCTTAGCCACACAGATGACCAACAATCTTCAAGAAATTGATTCAGTAGTGCCCTGACACCTTTCTGTACCATAGCACAAGCCCAACATGAATCTTCTTTCATTTTCTTTATTTCCTTTATTCTATAAATCTTTCCACATGTCATAAATTCATTTTCCATTTGTGGATTCTAAGGCACGAATTTGAGAAAAAGAATAGACACTCTGCCCCTGGCTATTCAACCTAGCTTTAAACCACAACATATCAAACACCCTTTTAATGATGAACATAGAAAAGACAAATCATCACCATGTGCCCTGCCCAGCCTCTCATGTCTCTCTAGATATCTCAGTCTTTGGTATTTTGAATCAATTCCACTGATGATATACCACCATGCCATCATTTCAGGCATGTCAAGCATCGTTTCTCTGATTCTGCCTCTTCTACCGTTGATCTGTCCAGTCATCATGATGTTCTCCAATGCCTCTCTTCTCATCACATGATCAAAGGATTTCGAGACTGTTTCTTAGATGTAGTTTTCTAATTTCATTAGCCACTTCCAGGCAGTTACTGTTAATCATTGTCTGTCCATTTATATGCATGCCATAACAGGTGACAAATTAAGGGTTTCCTGCAATCTGATGTACTGGGTCATGCGAAACCGATATCACAACCTAGCTGTAAACCACATCACAACATGTCAACCACCCTTTTAAGGATGAATACACACACACAATAGAAAAGATATGTTCAGTCATTTCTTCTCATAGTGTGATCGTCTACTTCTTTCATGTTGGCTCTTCAAAGGGAGATTGGTATGTTTTGTTGTGTAGAGCTAGGCTGGAATATCTGCACTTTTTGGTCTGACACATCCAATTTCAGCAAATCCTTAATTAGTCACTTTCTATGACATGCTAGTTAGGGAAAGATCTGTGGAAAGAGTAGACAGAGAAAGACAGCATGAGAAGATTCTTGACAGCCTTTTAGTCATGGCACAGAAGAGTGTCAGCACACCAACTGATTGATACACAGTTGTGGATTGCAGATTGTGGAGAGGCATGATCGCCCATGTCAGTTGACAAGGCACTTAATGACAATTATGATGATGACAGGGAGCAGTGAATCTACCACCCCCCCCCCCCCCCCCACCACCACCACCAAACAGAGCCCAAGAATCCACACAAGGGGTAACATAGTCAAATATTGCAATTGGCTCTCTGGAAGAAAAGGAACATAAAAAGCAAAATTTGTTCAAATGGTCAGTCCAGAAGAATTCCTTGTCATTAATGTTTAAGTTCATCAAGTTCTTAACTCTCTGGGGATAGGCTCACCCAGATCATGACCCTGGGTGCTTCATACACTGACAGAAACTGTCATCTTCTTTCTTTCTGTTCTTTACTCTAGACCCTGTTTTGCCTTTTGGTGTCAAGTTGTGAAGAAGCATTTGGTGCCAGCCTTGGTTTTTGCTGTGTGGTTGCTGGTATTCGCAGCACCAGATATTCTTTCTATCCATCGCTTGTGTGGTCGACCTCTGCTTCCATTGTGTCTAAGTGACTGAGCTCTCTGTGATGCACTATCTTGTTGTAGACTTGACACATGTCCGAACCACTAATAACTGGCCAAACTAAGTAAAAGATCCTTTTCCATGTGTGAGCCATACTCAGTATATGGTGCTACCATAAAATTGTAGTAAAATAAAGTCTGAAATCTGTGTTTCTGTGAGGAGAAGACAGGCCGCACCACCATACCTCTCCACAACTTGCAATCTCCAAAAGTATACATCTGTGTGCTGACACCCTTCCAGGCTATGACAAAAGAATCTTCTCTCTTTTGTTTTCCTCAATGTCTGTTTCCACAAACCTTTCCAGTGGTCACAGCATGTTCCAGTTTCTGTCTTCTCACACCACGGTCAAATAATGATGAGTTATATTTGAATCTTTGCTTTTTCTCCGGATTATACTTTTTTGAGCTGTCAAAGGAATTTTAAGCATTCTTGTGTAAAACAACTGTAAGGCCTCAAGAAATTGGCTTGTTTATTAACTGTTTAAATCTGCAGCCTTGTGTTAAATCTAGCTCGATATAGTGTGCAAATATTTGTTTTCTAAATTCATACTTACTCTGAAAATTGATCTTGGTTCGATCTAAAGGCGCTATCACAGTTTTAGCAAGTGCTCCAGCCATGGCTCCCGCAATTAGGGCAGTCACCACCTTCTGCTGGTCTGCCACCTGCAATACAGATGCAAATTAGGAATAACTTTCCACAACAGGAGAACATTGGGCATACGAGGTCATGCTCATTTTCACGGACCGACTGAAACTCTCTGGGTGATGTGATCAACATCCTGCCAGCCGTCTATGCTTCCCAGGATATGAGCATCAAGGTTATTCGCTTTTTTTTTAAATGATGCTAAATGTGGATTCGAACCAAAGAACTTCAGGTGGCAGGCGAGTATGTAGCTGCTACACTAACCCAAATTTGGCACAAGGTGTTTTCAAAGTCCTGGTCTCAGCAGGTTCAACATGTGTGGGTTCCAGGACCCCATATATGGGGGACTTAATGCCACCCTAACAAGCATGTCATAACAGTTGACTCATCAACAGTCTGCTAAAATGTAATGTGTAGAGCTGAAAGGCGTAGCAAATACATTACCAAACAACTCACCACACAAAGCAAACTCCCAACAACAATTTTAAAGAAAGATTTTTTTTTGTTTGGTAATTAAAAGATTGGAAAAACAAAGTATAAATCAGCTGTATAATTATATATAAGCTGACAACAACGGCCCTGAAATCCCATGCTATAAATGTGGAAGACTTTTCTTAACGTGGATGGGTCTTGCTAGTCACACTCCTCATCACCATGGGTTGTGAGTCCCATGCTTCCCCATACCACAATATAACACTATTGTCTGGAAAGATGGAAAGGTGCCAACCAAATCAATCATATATCATAACCAATAACAATAAACAAAGGATGTTGTGGCGATGAGCTTTCTTTAGCAAAACATGATGAACAAAACAATATGGCTCTAAAATGAGTACATTTTAGTATTAGAATTAGAGACTGTCTCTGCTTCCGGTCAAAATGGACGCTAGGCAGGGGCACTGTTTGGAGCCGAGGCAAATTTTTTGCTTCTGCTGGACGGTGGCTGATGCATTTTTGCTCCATTTGTAGACTGGATATAGCTTCTGAGTTGAATGCATGGTGTGACACTGTGAGCTGTGGATTTCATTTGGAATGTTTTTTCGACTGTGACCAATGTGGTGGTGTGAATTGTAGACTCAGAAAATGGCGCAATGCCTGTTGTCACAATATTGGTAGTGCCATTATGTGATTAAAATTGACTGCACGTGCAACTGCTGATCTGTTGGTGACTTCTGCTACCAGCCATGATGAACTGCATTTCTAATGTCAGACTGTTTGTGTTAGCACTTCAGATGACTACCATATGCTTAAATGTGTGTGTATGCTAGATATGCTGAGGCAGCAGTCAGTCAATCTTTCCACAAGGGACTGTGATAAACATTCTGTGTGTTTTTCGTTGTCACAGGAGCGGAGCAAAGATTGTGTGACCCATTTGCTATGAAGCTGAAACTAAGACTACCAGATTACCAGATTAGAATTTAAAAATTTGAAGGAAAAAATAAAAAACCCTTCCAGCTTTACACAATGAACAACGAAAACCATGCAACATCTACAACATCCTGACCTTCTCATTGATTTCATGTTCCTCCTGATGATAGTGTTCCACTTCAGGCTGGACTCGAACCTCACACTTGCACTTCTCAGTAGCATCTTTTCCTGCTGAATCCACACTCCTTCCTCTCATGGTAGCAAATGGCAGTACCCGAACCTATGTAAGGCAAAAGGTGAACTACAGATATCTTCATGGCAAAGGGTTAACTACACATATCTTCATGGCAAAGGGTGAACTACACATATCTTCATAGCAAAGTGTGAACTACAAATATCTTAATGGCAAAGGGTGAACAACAGATATCTTTATGACAAAGGGTGAACTACAGATTTCATAGTAAAGGGTGAACTGCAGATATCTCCATGGCAAAGGGTGAACTACAGATATCTTCATTACAAAGGGTGAACAACAGATATCTTCATGGCAAAGGGTGAACAACAGATATCTTCATGGCAAAGGGTGAATAACAGAAATCTTCATGGCAAAGGGTGAATAGCAGATATCTTCATGGCAAAGGGTGAATAACAGAAATCTTCATGGCAAAGGGTGAATAGCAGATATCTTCATGGCAAAGGGTGAATAACAGAAATCTTCATGGCAAAGGGTGAATAACAGAAATCTTCATGGCAAAGGGTGAATAACAGAAATCTTCATGGCAAAGGGTGAATAATAGATATCTTCATGGCAAAGGGTGAATAGCAGATATCTTCATGGCAAAGGGTGAACTACAGATTTCATGGCAAAGGAAATATTGATGCAGCGTTAAATTTAACATTTGAGTATCCCCAGTGGCAAAGAAAAAAGGGGAAGGGGGGGGGGGGGGGGTATAAACTCACTATTCTCCTAACATAAAGGGTGACTAATTAGGGATTCGCTTAAACTAGAGGGCTGGGCCGAAATACAAGATATCGCAGCCTAGCCATTAACTACAACGAGGACTTAATCCAGCAGGTATGTGACCTAGACATGATTAGTCACGGAAAAGAATGGACAAATACACCAGTAGACATGCATGGCATCTCTAAGGTTGTCATCACACTCGGAAGGTACTGCCGGGATCAAATTCCTGCGGCCGTAGACAAATAAGTAAGGGAACTGATAGATCAGCATTCAGACCCAGAAGATATCATCATCTACACAGATGGATCCGTGAAGCGCGGATCAAGGTCAGCATGGGCATACACAGTGCAAAGAAGGGGGAAAACAATACAGGAGGACAGCGGCGCTTACAAGACAACCACGTCAAGCATGACCATGGAAATAGCTGCTGCTTCTAGAGCTTTAGCATGGGTATCCGAGCAAACCGCCACACAGGCAGTAATTGTATCAGACTCCATGAAGATAGCAACAGAAGATAGCAACAGGCGGTATACGCTTTGAATGGGTAGAAAGCATTCGAAAATCGCACTTAGCCTTCGTAACCTGGATCTACATACCGGGTCATACGGGCGTAAAGGGAAATGAGCGAGCGGACCAACTGGCAAGAACTGCACTTAGGATTGTGGGGAAAAGCATGGACAGAGCAGATATCGTCAATGCTGTACGGACTGGGCTAGTGGATAATGAGGAACCCCTGACACTGGCTCGACTGCGTGACATGAGAGTAAAGCATGGTGTATCACGTCTATGCGGTCTTCTAGGCCGTGGCAACTTTTTTTGTTTCTGCCAGACTGTGGCAGTTGCATTTTTGATCTATTTGTAGACTGGAAGGATATAGTTTCATTGCCCAGCTTCAGTGCATGGCCTGACACTGTGAGCTGCTATTTCATTCGAACTGTGATAAACATTGTGTGTGTTTTTCGTTGGCACAGGAGCGGAGCAACTATGGGGTGACCCGTTGGTTATGTTGCTGAAACTAAGATTACCAGATTTCAACACAACTTACCACCACTATTTTCAGGGTAGAAGCAGAAAAAGGAGAAGAAAAGAAGAAAAGGAGGAGGAGGAGAAAGAGGAGGAGAAGAAGAAGAAGCAGAAGAAAAGAAGTTCCTTCGGAACTCTGGTACACATTTGACAGATCTGGTTTATTTATGCACAGATTGTTCATTCCTCGCCTCTCTGACAAATGCATTCTGACTAGCATATCTAGAAAAACCATTACATTCCTACATAGAATAATTATATACCTACAAAACATATGGGGTCCAAAATTCAAAATAGGGGTTAATGTCCAAAATAGGGGTTAAGATGAAACTGTCGATGCTGTGCGAGAACACTGTGCTAGGCACTGATCTCACAATCACTGCAGATACCTTAAGAACTTGCCTCAAGAAATCGCGCAGCACTGCTCCAGGCCCTGACGGCATCCGATACAACGACATGCTGATGATGTCGAATGCTGATTTGAAAAGCGTGGCAAAGGAATTCAATATCAGCATCCAGAGTGGCCAGATACAAGAGGAATGGCTTCATAGTTATTTGTTCCCACTACCAAAGCCTAATAAAGACCACTCGAAGATCTGCGGCTACAGAATCATCTCGATGCAGAATACTGTTGGCAAACTTTTGGAAAAAATTGTCGCACAAAGATTGACCAGCTACTTGGAACTACATGATAAGTTCCCACCAACACTTGGAGGGTACAGGTTAAATAAAGAGACATGGTTCAATGCTGCAGTTTTCGCCTACGATGTGTACGAGGGATTTCAGATTAAAGAAGAGACATGTGCGGCAGTGTTGGACTTAGAAGATGCCTACAATAAAGTACCATACGATTATTTAATGCAATTACTGCTTAAACTAGAAGTTAATCCTATTCTGATCCGCTGGATTGCTGCGGTCCTGTTCCAGAGAAAGATTGTACTAAGATGTGGTAGCTGGTCCTCAGAACCGCAAACGATATGTCCAGGCTTGCCACAGGGATCACCGCTATCACCAGTCTTATTCAACGTTTATACGGTGATGATCACCGAGCAGCAGTTGAATGGAAAGGGGAGGACTTTGTCATTTGCTGATGACATTTTGATTTATCGACGAGGGCGTGATAGACAGGAGATCGCCAGCACTATGCACAAAGAACTCGATCGAATTGCCGCCTGGTGTGATGGTTCCAATGCCTATGTCAATCCTTCGAAGGCATCAGTGTCATGGTTCTCTTTGAATAATCACATTGTCAAGTCGGACTTACCAGAAGTGAAAATGCGTGATAATGTATTGATCAGAACCAACGTTATGACGTTTCTCGGGGTGAGGTTCGATCGCAGCTTGTCATTCAGGGAACACGTTGACCATGTGATAACAAAAGCACGCAAAGGTCTATCTGCAATGAGGATTATGGCTGCTTCCAACATTGAGCAAAGACTACTAATACTTCTATTCTACGGTCTGGTCCTTTCCCCCATTGAATACGCTCTGGCCATCCTCACTGTCAGTGCTACCCAGATTGAACGACTCGAAAAGGTGCAAAATGAAGCAATGCGCATTATTTTGGGATGTACTAGAGACACATCCTGTGGAGCAATGAGGTATCTACTTGACTTTCCAACAATGAACCAAAGAATCAGGATGTGGAGGGCTCGGGCATATCTCAAAATATGTGCTGATAAGAAACACCCACTGCATCAAGCGCTTTTTAGTGAAAAGGGCGACAGACTGAAGAGGGGGAAATCGTGGCTAGGTCGGGCAGAAGATGTTATTAGGCAAATATGCAGCCTAACCGACATCATACCTGGTGCAGAATGGATACCTGTGCCTCAGGCGTTTATTTGTACATTTTCCTGTATTGTCACACTCAACAGGCGATGTAGAGAAGAGAATCCTGTTGCTGTTAATGCAGAGGTCAACGCTCTCATCGGTGAAAATTCAGACGAAACAGACGCAATAATCTATACAGACGGATCCGTTATACGCCAAAGAAGAAGCGCATGGGCATTTACAGCACGCTCAGCGGGCAGAACAGTCAAAGAAGCCAACGGCGCCTTCTCCATGACAACCAGCAGCATGACGATGGAGGTGATGGCAGTGACACAAGCGCTTGCCTGGCTTGAAACACAAAAATACACCCGCGTGTGTATACTCAGTGATTCAATGAGTATGATCCGGAGGGTTCAGGCAGGTTCAGTGCGAAGACAATGGCTTGAATCATTACAGAAGTCCACTGTCCGTGGAGTCACCTTTATTTTTGTTCCGGGACACGCAGGCGTCGATGGAAATGAAAGAGCTGACAGGTTGGCTGCATCCGCTATCACTACCGACGGTCAGCCTATGGATCATGCTGATATTATCAATGCCCTCAGAGAAATGGGAAGGATAGACGACTTTGGTGGCAGTGAATCCACATCACTCGCCAGAATGGCAGACTTGGGAATTAAGATCGGCACAGCAAAAAACGAGACGCACACCAGCTACGCCAGAAGACTTGTTAATCAACATAGAACTGGTACTATTAGCCATCGGACGTTGGGGTTCATACTGAGGGGAGGATCTGAGCACCTATGGACATGTCCGGAGTGCAATGAGGATAACCCAACTAACTAACTAACTAACTAACATACCTACAAAAACAAAGATCAAACAAAGAACCACCAAGAATAACGTAATCATACTCCTACCTAGAATAAAACAATTATAAATCCACCTAGAATAACACATATATACACCTACACAGAATAACAATTACACACCCACTTAGAATAACACAATTACACACCTACCTCGGTTGGCTTGACTGCCACTGGATCGTTACTGACAGTCACCATTGTTGCCAGGGCAGACTCTGGTGGATGTGCATTCTACCTCCCATTCAAACTGGCAATCTGTCAATCAAGGATATGAGTGTATTAAGTTAAAACAGCTGACAATCTTTCAGTCCAGATGTGACCTTGTGTGGAAATCCACCAACCGCCTCTTAATGAGCATGTCATAAAATGGGACTAAGATTTTCCAGAAATTGCATGTGTTGGGCCGAAAGATATTGCAGACTAGCTGTAAACTAAAGTAACGTGTCAGCCACTTTTTAAGGGTGATTACAAAAGAACTCAAGAATGTGAAAGTCATAGGTTCACACCCAGTAACTGTAATGAGACATTTCCTCTTGTAAAGTCTAAGAACAACATAAACAAACACAATAAATAATACAATTAATAAACAATCAAAAGTGACAGGGTTCTAGAGGTGGGTGGTAAGATCACAGCACATATGTATAAAGGTCATTCAACTTGTGCCGACAGACCTGCTTAATTCTGCTTCTCATATTCACCCCCGACTCCCTGAGCTTGATAATTACTAAGAGCTATGAAGGCTGGGATATATTTCATATAGTTCACCCTTTGCCTTACCCTTTGTACATTAACACTGTAATCACAGTCATATGACAACAAGAACAAACTATCAGAATGACGCCACAACTCACACGAGGAAGTCTGACGTAATAATTTTTTTTTTAAAGTAAAAGAACTTTTCAGGTCATTGGCACATCGGGCATATCTTCTTTTTCTTCTGCGTTCATCCAAAGATGTAACTGCATTGTGCCCACTTGCAGCATTGCTCCAAAAGATGTGCCTTTTGGCCAACACATCCAACTTCTGCAGGCACTTTTTGATCAGGTTTGCCTTTCCGGTTAGTTTCGTAGGACATTGCAGTCTCACTCGTGTGTGGTCATCTTTGTTTCCCAGATGGTGCCCCACATCAGGCTAGTTCAGAGAAGCCATGTAAAGCTGATCAGACTTCAAAAGAAAGCAGGGGCAGAACATCAGCATTCCTCACCATCCAGGGAGGCTTCCATAAAGAACTAATACATGGTTCTTTGGTACTGGGCTCATCCAAGGAATCGCCACATCCTGCATATAGATACCTAGAGACATCCAGTGTGGCAGTATCCGGACAGATAGGTCTGTTTCATTTTCTTCTCACGTCAAGGTTTATGCCGTCTACATCTCTCTATCAGCTCCGAGAGTCCTTGACAGTTTTCTTCTTCTTTTATCTTCAAACGTCAATGAGATATATTTTAAAATAAATAAGCAATCAACCTGAGGTTGTTGACATCTCCACAGAGTTTGTCCTCAAAGGGAGCGTGTGTCAGTCAGAATACTTTTCTTTGTTCTGCATATGGTGGGCACTTGCAGCAAATGTTCAGCCGTCATTTTACCACTGCCATAGTTACAGTCATCAGTGTCTCCTGTCTTTAGCATGGTAATTCAGCCTATTATGTCCTGTGCAGAGTCTAAAGATCCCTACCTATTTTCTTTGGTGAAGTTGGTAATATGCATCACCCTTCCTATGGCCTGGATGTTCAGAACCCCATTTGGACTATAGGTACTCCTTATTAACCTCTTGGCCTCATATGTCTGTATTCCCAGTGTGGGTTCAAGGCCGTATTACAGGGAAAACCAGAAAAGACCCATTGCCTATCCAAATACATGTCGCAAGAGCAGACTAATTGGAAGCTTTCTTTGTACCCTCTTTGATTTCTGTCTCAGTCCATGGAGTGCAGTTCTAAGGTCTACTAGTTCTATTTTGTTTTTGCTCTTCAGTACTGTGACACTGACTCCGTATCTGTGAAGATAGCTATGTGTTTCTCTGTATTTTTCTCTGATAGAAGAACTTCTGCTGCAGTTCTCAAGGCCTCAGCCCACTGCTCTAAACTGACTTCAGCATGTACCTCTGGTATCTAGTGTCACTCGTGTTTGAAACTTCCCATGACATATCCTGATAGCAATTTAGGACTCCATCAACCTAGCAGTCCACACTAATGTCGTTTTAAACCTGGTGAAATGCAGATTCAAACTCAAGACCTTTGGGCTGGCAGGCAATTACCTTGTCATTGCACTGCTTACCTATGGCTCCCACAAGACAAAAGATTCATCCGTTCTGAACAAGAAATACCTATTATTTAAATACCATTAAGAAGATTCATCATGTGTCTTTTTCTTCTTCATATTCTTCTTCTTCATGTTCACCAGCTGTAGGTCCGCTTCTGGAATTTGGTTTTGCTCCAGAACTTTGTGTGCGCATATCTGTTTTACAAATCTGGCTTATTCATATGCAAACTGTTGGTTCCTTGCTTCCGAGGCAGATGCGCTCTTGACTTCGAAGGAAACAGCTCTATTGGCAAAGATATCACATAATAAACAACAATATAACAGGACAACTGCACTTTTACTGGCAAATTCCAAAGAAGAAATGCTGAAGTGGTTTAGTGAGAACAGCAGTGGAAGGCATGGTTGAGGAACGAAGATGCAGGACCTGACTAGCATGAAGGGATGCACAGGATACTGAAAATATGAGGCCTGAGAATTAGTAACAGCTCTTTGATGAGCTTTAAACAAAGCAGAGTTCTACAGAAGACTTGCTATAATGATGATAATTGCAAGTAATTTGAAAGATTCTTCTTTAACGTCTCTGCATTTGTTCTCAAAAGGGTGGTTTGCATGTGTAATGCTGCAAAATCTGCAGTTTTTCGGGATCCAAGACACATGACTTCAGCAAATCCTTTACTAGCTGCCTTTTATAGCACTCATTAAAGTCATCATCCTGTTGTGCCATGATATGTCACACTGGGCTCACAGTCTATTCCTCCATCCTGTTGTGTCATTATATGTCACACTGGGCTCGCAGTCTATTCCTCCATCCTGTTGTGCCATGATATGTCACACTGGGCTCGCAGTCTATTCCTCCATCTTGTTGTGCCATGATATGTCACACTGGGCTCGCAGTCTATTCCTCCATCTTGTTGTGCCATGATATGTCACACTGGGCTCGCAGTCTATTCCTCCATCCTGTTGTGTCATTATATGTCACACTGGGCTCGCAGTCTATTCCTCCATCCTGTTGTGCCATGATATGTCACACTGGGCTCACAGTCTATTCCTCCATCTTGTTGTGCCATGATATGTCACACTGGGCTCGCAGTCTATTCCTCCATCCTGTTGTGTCATTATATGTCACACTGGGCTCGCAGTCTATTCCTCCATCCTGTTGTGTCATTAAATGTCACACTGGGCTCGCAGTCTATTCCTCCATCCTGTTGTGTCATTAAATGTCACATAGGGCTCGCAGTCTATTCCTCCATCCTGTTGTGCCATTATATGTCACATAGGGCTCGCAGTCTATTCCTCCATCCTGTTGTGCCATTATATATCACACACTGCTCGCAGTCTATTCCTCCATCCCGTTCTATCCTTTGCAATCAGTTCAAAATCATGAATGGAATCCAGCCCAGCAGCTTTGGCCTCTCTCATCAACATTCATTTAGGGTTTCTCCTGGGTGCCCTTGCCTATTTAATCTCTTTATTTCCAATTTTAATACCTGTTTGAGGATTCTCTGCTCATTTCTTTTCATGTGTCCAGTATAGGGTTATCTTCTGTCTTATAACTGTTGTTACTAGTGGTGGCCCAACATTTCTCTTATTTCTTCAGCCCTCTTGAATTCATCCTATTTTATGTTCATCATTCTCCTCAGACATGTGTTTGCGAATGCATTTAACATTTGTTCCATCTCTTTAGTGGTTCTCCAGCTTTCACTGGTATATGTTAAACTTTTATATATTTAGAACTGAAAATACATAATTTGGTTTTAAAACTATACTTCTTTGCTTTCATCTGTTGTACACTCCAGGGTGTTCATCCACCTCTGGACAATAGTTTTGTTGCAGAGCTTGAGTCCTGTGTGCACATCCATCTTACAGATCTGGCTTATTTGTGAGCAGACATTTATTTCTTGCTTCTCAGGTATATGCACTCCGACTTCAAAGGAATCCCTCAGCTTGACTCTTACGACATGTTTGTTGGGGAGTCAGTGGGTCTATTCTTGTCTTCTCAGCAATGAGGACCCTGGAATTCACACGGGAAAAAACTACACAATTCAGAGTTTCATATTTTGTTCAGGCTTTTAAAAGCTGCTGATGCTTTGCCGGCATGTCATAATTTATTTCTTTGCATTTCTTTCATTATAAAAATTACTATCCAAATAAGTAGACTGATCTGTTGCTTTAATTACTTTTGTCTTTAGTGTAAAATGTGTTAAGGTACAGAAAGAGGATTCCCGGTTTTTTCCCTCTATAGAAAGAGGACTCAAACTACTAAACTGTGGCATCCACAACAGTGTTGATTTCCTCTGGGTGAAGGCAGCCCATAAACACTAACTCTTTTGAGTCCAAGGAAATGCATCACTCACATTAACAGCGCGGCCCAAACGGTGCGTGGCAAGTGCAGGTTTTTGATCTACCACTGACCGGTTTTAAAACGCGGACCACGCAATTTCAACTTTCTTTAGAGTTCTTTGTGTCTGATATCAGGCGTGCTCATTTAGAAATGTGGGTTGAAAGCAAAAAATATAGTAAATTTGTGAGATTCGACGAGTTAATACGTGTTTGTTTGAAAAGAATATGACGGCCAAGCAGTATTCTACGTGGATGCCAACATGATTTACGGCCTTAGAAGCCTAAATTTTAAATAAAATACGTGTTTTTTAGATTCATTCGGATGGGGGCTAAACTAGATGGCTGGGACCCACGAGTGGCAGCTACCGCATCTCCTGCAACTTCCTCCAATTACTGTACTCGTGAGTCCCAGGCACCTAGATACGCTCGGCGATGAGTTTAATCGCGTTTGGCGCATGCCGACAAGTCTGACATCTACCGCTGCTAAATCCTCCAATCGGAAGAATACACTATATTGCTAATCGTTTTCATTGTCTGTAATGTCTCGAAATTGGTCAACGGTCGCTAATATCGTCTGCTAGTATCGTCGTCGCAGAAAC